ATTTAAACTGTAATATAACTAAACAAAAATAAATAACATAAGCTAATAATAAAATAAAATAAAATTCATAAACATATAGAGTATTAAATTATGCTTCTCATACAACATTAAACAAATTCAAATAAAACACAGAAGTATGTATTTAAATTTCTTAATTAGAGTGCATAAATTAAAAACAAAAAAATAAACTAAACAGTGCTAGGTGAATCTAAGTCATGGCCTTCAGGAATATGACTCCCTTTAGAGGAAGACTTTCCATTTCCGGGTGATTCCAAGTCAGGTTCCTGGAACAAAATAAAAAATTAATAAAAATAAGTAAAAATCAAAAGCATACTAGTGTCAACATTTATCAAGTATATTCAATTTTTCCACCTCTCACTGTGAGTACAAAATAAGCAGCAACATACACTACAATTCATCAAGCATTATAACAATACCATCAACCATTATAATTCCAAAGCCTTCAATCACACCATAAACCTCCCCAGAATGCAATACCACTAATAACCCATTAAACATAAGAATACTCAAAATTCTTATAAATATAAGTTACCCATTTTAATGTAGACAAAATTACAATCAGTATCCAGTTATTCTTATTGACATAACAAAATACAACTAACAACAATACAGGTCATTCTATGCTTTCAAATTTTAAGAAACATAATAATATTTACTTTACCTCATTCCCCTTAACACGTTGCATAAGAAATAATTATTTTATAATAAATTTGTTAAAAAATATTAATATTTTGGAGGGTGATTCGGAGAGTACTATTAAATTATTACTCATTTTGCTCTTATACCTATTAGTTTACATCGTCGATCCATATCTATTAACAGTTCATTTCAAAATAATACTTAACATTTTTACTTCATCAACCAACTAAATTATGAGCGTGATTGTATAATTTTTTGAGCAAAAAAGTGCAATTAAATAAAAATAAAAAAGAAAATTCCACCAAATCGAGGCAAAACTAGTAAATCTTCACAATCATATTAGATTATCAAGACTATTAAAACGTCCATACCCGGTGCACATTGAATCCCTTTATTGAACACAACCATGCAAATGAAAGCTTATTTACGTGAACCTTTCCATGGTAAACATTATTCAACAACGAATCCACTTTCACAAACTAACCCTTCACAGTTTTTGAATTAAACGACGTGCAATCTCTCCTAATCTCTCCATTTTTCCCAGTCTTGACCCCAACCCTTCCAAGCTTCCTCATGGCTGCCACAAACGCTTCATTGAAGTCCGCACCGTTTCTCGCGAACCGCACCACCGTAGACTGCGACGCAGCGTCCGTGAACAGCACCTGGTCCGAGGTTAGTAACCCTTGTCCCGACATCAAGTTCGTGTAATAAACGTTGTCGAAGGCCACAGGGGATTGCGGGTCCAGGGGAACCACTACGCTGGGGTCGCTATTACGAGGACACTGAGCGATCAAATTTCCGGCGTAGGTGGGGTCCAGTGTGGGGTCCACGGGAGAGGAGCGCGAAAAGGAGTATAAGCGGTTCGTGAACTGGTCGCAGTGTGAGAACCCTATGGTGTGGGCTCCGGAGAGGGCTATCATGTCGGTTTGGGCCAGGCCGTGTTTGGAGAAGAGGGCGTTCAGTTGGCCCAGATTGAAGTTTGCTTTCGGAAGGTTTCCTTCTACGCGCGAGGCCTTAGAAATAAGCCCGTCTTTGCGCCCTAGCTCTACCTTGAATGAAGGCCCACCAAGCTGGGACAATTGCACTTAAACAAGTATCAATCCTACTTCCATTCAATTTAAAGTATGAGTTAATCATCGATGCCAGTATAAATTTTTTTTACACCAGTAACTAATTATATTTTTTAAAATTATTTATTTTATTATTATTTCATTAAATAAACAACTGATATATCATTATAAAAAAATATAATTGGTTGTCAGTGTAAAAAAAATTTATACTTGCAATGTATAGGTGATTAACTCTTAAAATATTGTGGGTATATAAAAAAAATATTCAAATAATATTATTTATCAAGCATAGAACCACTAAGATTGATTTAATAGTAAAAGATTAGAACAAAATACACATTATTTTAAGCTCGAACTTTAATAATATTATTGTAAATTTGGTAGATAAAAATTAAGGAATTGGGTACCAAGCCTATGACATCTCTGGTAGCGAGTGCTAAAATGTCTGCGCATGAAACGACGCCGGGGCATGCAGCTTCCACTGCTTGCTTTGCCTTGATAACAGTGTCAAACCCATCTCCTGCAAGAGAAAGACTTTCCGTGGCATCTTTTTCTGCGTCTCCATTTGGCGATGAGATCATAATAGAAGCATCACATCCCTACACCATCAAATTAATTCTTCATTAGTGTAGCCAACCCAATTTTCACGTTAATATTTGACTTGTATTCAAAATCTTATGTCCTCAATGAAGTAGCTAGTAGCTAGCATAGGATTTTTGATTAATTTTTTTTCTAGCATGTTCGTACGTTTAAGAGTAATTGGTCGAAAGTTAACAACAAATCAACTAAAGGAATTCTTGAATATGCCTCTACCTCGTACTCGACGATTTTTTTTATGATAACCTACGATGCACCGATACGATACGCGTATCGGATACGACACGTATCCGATACGGCGATACGCTTATTTTAAAATATATAGGATACGATACTTGTAAGATACGTGTTGTCATATATATCAATGTTCATACAACATAATAATTTTGTACTTGTAATTTTGATCAAAATTCATAAACATTAAATATATAATTACTATTTTGCAAATTCAAATTAAAAATATACTTATTGTACATTACTAAAAATAATTATAAACCATTTCATCATAAATTACTTTTTATTATTTACAAATGGAAATAATATTATCAAATTTCATTCCTTTCTTAAAATTATCTATGTAGAAGTAGAAGACAATTTTCATTTACAGTTTATCAAGGACCAATATTTCTATGTTTCTATATTAAAAATGTTTATATATCTTATTTAGTTGTAAAGAATATTTCATAATTTTTCAAAAATTTGAATACTTTATCGATATGTATCACCGATAAGTATCGGTGAAGTATCTGAGAGTATCGAGATTGAATAAAATTTTCATAATATTTTCAAAAGTTAGGATACTTCATTGACACGTATCGGTGAAGTATCCAAGAGTATCGTGTCGGATACGTATCGGATACGGATACGTGAAGCAAATTGAAGTATCGGTGTTTCATAGATGATAACTAGGTGTGGGTTTGTGTGGTTATGACTGTTCTCTCAGCATATTATTCTCATCATTTAAGAACAAAAACTAGGTGGTCACGCATAGCATTCCAAATGTGATAAAGCAAGAGAAAAAAATTAGTGGATGACACGATCGGGATTATTAACAAGGATAAAAACAAATAAGCCTCCACCGTAGCCATAAAAGTCACGATCATATTTTGAAAGTTCAACTTAATACATGAAATTTAAGCGTAAAAAAGAAGGAAACTATAATGTCTAATATGGAAAATGCAAGCTCATCTTCAGAGGAAGGAAATGAAAAAAGCATAATTAACTTAAACGTCGTGATAATTCTATTTTCTTAATAAAAACTTGACACTGAAAAATTATACTATACACACACAAGTGAGGAACTAATAAAGAAATATATGAATTGAGAGGGGCACCTCAACAAAGCAATCATGGAAAAATAGACGCAGTGTTGCTTGTCCAGTGATGATGGTTTGAGAAAACTTGGTAGTCACTGCTTTAGTTACGATGGATTCGACCTTTGGACAAGATGAAGCATAGAAATTCTCTACTAATTGGCCTTCTCCCTTAGATATAAGCATTGTGAAAGCCATCAAAACAGACATCAATACTATCCTTATGATCTCCATTTCCCTTTCTCTGGTTGCTAGCTATGTAAGTGCGCTCTCCACAACACTATATACTAAATAGAAATAATGTTACTTATAAATTGTGAAGGAAAAATATCGTAAGACAGGACAGTGAATGATTTAATGAAGTACTATCGTGTCGGATACGTATCGGATACGGATACGTGAAGCAAATTGAAGTATCGGTGTTTCATAGATGATAACTAGGTGTGGGTTTGTGTGGTTATGACTGTTCTCTCAGCATATTATTCTCATCATTTAAGAACAAAAACTAGGTGGTCACGCATAGCATTCCAAATGTGATAAAGCAAGAGAAAAAAATTAGTGGATGACACGATCGGGATTATTAACAAGGATAAAAACAAATAAGCCTCCACCGTAGCCATAAAAGTCACGATCATATTTTGAAAGTTCAACTTAATACATGAAATTTAAGCGTAAAAAAGAAGGAAACTATAATGTCTAATATGGAAAATGCAAGCTCATCTTCAGAGGAAGGAAATGAAAAAAGCATAATTAACTTAAACGTCGTGATAATTCTATTTTCTTAATAAAAACTTGACACTGAAAAATTATACTATACACACACAAGTGAGGAACTAATAAAGAAATATATGAATTGAGAGGGGCACCTCAACAAAGCAATCATGGAAAAATAGACGCAGTGTTGCTTGTCCAGTGATGATGGTTTGAGAAAACTTGGTAGTCACTGCTTTAGTTACGATGGATTCGACCTTTGGACAAGATGAAGCATAGAAATTCTCTACTAATTGGCCTTCTCCCTTAGATATAAGCATTGTGAAAGCCATCAAAACAGACATCAATACTATCCTTATGATCTCCATTTCCCTTTCTCTGGTTGCTAGCTATGTAAGTGCGCTCTCCACAACACTATATACTAAATAGAAATAATGTTACTTATAAATTGTGAAGGAAAAATATCGTAAGACAGGACAGTGAATGATTTAATGAAGTACACAACCCACCACATATATTAGGAATGAAAGCAATAATACGAGGGAATAACATTTTTTCTAGAATATAAAAGAAGCATTAGGAGTGAGAGCAATAATAGGAGGGAATAACATTTTTTCTAGGAAATAAAAGAAGCTCAAAGGATTGACAATGACAAGTACTATAATGAAAGAATAATGTGAAATAAAGGATAGTTTGTTATACCAATTCTATTTTTCGTAACAGAAATATTGACAATTTAGGTGACTTAAGTAGGCTATTTTTAGGATGAGTACAAATGTTTTCTACCTTTCCCTATATATATATTATATATATAGTTAAAAAGGGTGGTACTGGTAATGAGTAAATAATTCACTTAAAACGAGTTTAAACAGAGTATCGCCAAGTTAGATTATGATGAATTTATAATGTTATAAATTTAAAACATAATTTAGAGTTAATTAACATCTTAAGTATAGTTGAATATTGGAGAGTTTGTTACACTAAAAAAATTTATTTTCTCAAGAATTTGAAATTAAGAATGTTAGTTTTTTTTTTATGTTTAATTTGTTTTCCTATGATAATTTTTACATAAGTTTTTTTACATAATTGTTTTTATGGGAAGGTAAGAAACTAACCTTCTCTATTTAAAAAAAAATAGTTTTAATACGGTAAAAATATCTCACTAACTTTATTAGTTTATTTAATGTAGTGAAAATCTTTAATTTTCAAAATAGCATTTGTAAATATTCTCCAAAAACATCTATAACTTATACAAGCAAGAATAACCTTCCTATTATTCACTCATTGGTATTATTTTATTGGATTATACACATATGTGAATATACTTATAAAATATAATATAAGTATTTAATTAATAATTTTGATATTTTATTTTTATTAATAGAACTGTTTTAATATTTATTTTAATTATTTGACATTTTTGAAATATTATATAAGGTGTTTTAAGTAAAGGTTTTATTTAATTAATTAAGGGAGAAGGAAACTAGTAATTAAGGTTAAGTATTTTAACTAAAGGATGGTTAAGGGGAGGTTAATTTTTTTTTTATTTAAAAAAAAGGAGTTTTGATCAGTTTTTACACATTTTCTTTTCTTTGCGTATGCATTCTTCTTTTTACACTTAGAGCCTGAAGATTAGGAGTAGGAAAGGAATCACCCTGAAGTCGATCATCCATCTTTTTCTATTCAACAAGGAAAGGGGAAGTGAGAAACCTCACTTTGGGTGTAGGATGTATGTTGGGTAGTAAGATTGGTCTAAATTCTATCTCTGTTGTATGTCTATGTATGATGGGTATTCTGCAAATACATCTGTTTTGTCTATTGTTCTTCTTACATGTTCCTAATGACATGAATTGTTTGAATATATGATCAATTGTATATTTTAGATTATAATTGTATGATGAGATTCATGTGGGTTCCTATAGAAAACTCGAAGGGAACTTATTGTTATAGTTAGTGAAGATATTGATTGATATGTGTAAACTGAATAATTTGGAATGTAAATTGCACGTTATAGAGCATTTTTACTAATTATATATATGTTTATGCATGTAATTGGATGTGGGTAACTAGTAGTTGTTGAGGAGACGTGATTTCTAGGGAGGAAGATCGTGTTCTTGCTCAATGACACATGTTGGGTTTCTCAACGACAAGCCCCAGGGGGCTCAGCTTGCTCAACTAGATGTTGGCCGCTCAGTAAGAAGTCCCAAGAGACTCAACTCGCTTAGCTACATGTTGGTCACTCAACGAGATGTCCTAGGGGGCTCAACTCAATTAGCTAGATGTTGGTCACTCAGTTAGATATTGGTGGCTCAGCTAGATGTTGGTGGTTCAACTAGATGTTGTAGACACTAGTTTTTGTCCAGGATGAGAATTTGAAGATGGGAAGCTTCTAAAGCGAGATAAGTGACCCTCAAGAGACCTTGAGACTCCAAAATGCGTCGAGATGGAGTAAGCAACCTCCAAAAGACATTCCAAGGGTCAAACAACCAAGAAGCAAACTTGGAGGCATGAGAATGGTCGTTTTGGTCATGCAAATGATCGTTCCCATGATTAACCAAAATATTCGTTCTCATGGTTAGTATGGTCGTTCCAAATTGAACTTTTCCATGTAAAATGAGGTTGAAAACGACCTTTCCAAGGGGAGAACGACTATTTTGGGCCTTTGGCCTCTATTTAAGCGCGCATTTAATCACCCTCATTTGGGAACACTTTATTCTCTCTTCCCCCTTGACTCTTTTTAGAAGCACTTTGAGTAAAAAAGACTCATTGAGAGCTAGATTAAAAGATCTTTAGTCCGTTTGGCAGAGATTTCAGAGTTTATGTAGTATAGAAGTCCCTCTTGAGTGATAGAGAGGTTCTTGTAGAGCGAGGAGGTTGCCAAAAATTGCACCCAAACGGTTTTACGAGAAAACAATACTAAAGCTTGCTTCGGAGGTTTCGAAATCTCTCTCTCTCTCATATTTATTACTTTAGTTGTATGCTTAGAATAGGCATCATGTAGATAATTCATTACAATATATACATAATTATGGGGTAAGAATGTTAATCTTTGCTTTATTTTGTTAATAAACAAATCATAGGATACTATTTTAGGCGTTATAGGGTGCCTAATACCTTTCCCACGTAAACGACCCCCGTACTCAACTCTGATTGCATAAACCTTTCTTTTTCTAATGTTTTGAGTAAAATATCGGTGACGACTCCAAGAACCTTTATTTTCAAAACCATTGACAAAGGTTTAGTCCAGTTATCGGGCATTCCAATGTCAATGAAATTTTAAAATACAAGTCGAACAAGCCATCTTTTTTAGGTCGGGTTTCAACAGACGTTAGTTGATATTACTTTTTTACTAATGACTAGTTGATGTATTTGAGAATGTACGTGGGATATATGAGATAATGTGAGAAATATGTGATATGTGAAGTGAGATCGTGTGTATGTTATTGCATTGAGTTTGTTTTACATGCATCAATTGTATAAATTATGTTTTTAGGGTATAATATGGAATACACTATCAAGGAGGGTCCCTTATTTAAAAGTTAGGGAACCAACCTTGTGGATGGCTCGGTTTGGGAAGTCACAACCCTACCCTCATGTGTATGGGATGTAACTTGTGCAACTTAGCTATAATGTTACTTGTTATTATTTATAATATCATGAATGAACCAAGCGTGCTAATGATATTATATGTTTATGTTGTGTCTTGTATGTCTTGTTTGTGTTTGACTATCTAATTTGTATTCTTACACCGTGGGTTAGAGTGAAATGTTTCTCACTTCCTTTATCTCTGTTTTTAGTCTTGTATTGATTCTACATGTGATGATCATCATGATGATGAAGATATTGGTGATGAGGCTTAGGCTTCATGTTGGATTTCTTTGATAGAACATGTAACATCAGGACATAGTTAGGACTAGTTTAAGACTTTATTTTGTTGGTTCATTTGGAAAATATCAATTTTTAGTTTCTTTGTAATTCTTTTAGTTATGTTATGTTATTTGTTTAAGATACAATGTGATTTTCTCTACTTGTTATGATTTTGAGTTACTTTATTATGTTGAGGATATTTAATTTTTATATTTTTATGTGTTATACCCTACAAGATACAGGGTGTCACAATACTAATATTAAGGAAATAATATTTGGAAGAGTACATACTAATAGTCAAAAGAAAGTACATGAGTTAGTTGAAAGAGTATGTATAACATTGTAAGGAAAGTACATGAGTTAGTCGAAAGAGTATGTATAACTTTGTATTGCAATAGTTAGGAATTATGTAATGCACTATTTGTGAATTTTAAACTTAGAACCATTTTTATAGTCATATTTTAAACTATAATTTCTTTCTAGAAATTGTTGGTATGTTAGTTTCTAAATCGCACATTCATAAACTTATTGATGGAAAAAATTCATCTTCACACAATAAGTTTACTCATACATCTAAGGATCTTAAACAAAACACACATTGTAATTTTATTTTGTGGCTCTATATATATAGAATAAATTTGGAGTACAAAATTTGAATACTATAATCCTCCTAATTTAAAATAAAAAAATCACTAAAAGATATTAAAATAATTTAATAAGAATCTATAAATCCAAATAATATCCTATAAATTACAAATTCCAAAAATAACTCTTGAAATTTTCATTCACTCAATTTATTTGAAATTTGAATTACTTTCCCAACAAATCTTTCCTTAATTAAAATTTCCAAATAACTAGCTCATTAAAACATTTATCTTCTCAAAACTTATCTATCCAAATGGCAAAGATTTTTCTCAATCTTTTGCCCTTGCAATATCAAACTTCTTCAATTGTGTACTTTGCATCCCCATTTTGAAACAACATACTTGTAGTCTTGTGATGTCATCTCTCCTAATGAAATTATATTGGATGCAACACAAGGTTCATGTCTCATATTTTCAAAAGTTTGGATGATATCGTTGTGAAGCTTCATTCTCACAGTCTCAATGTCTTTAACCTCTATTTTCCCACCATTTCCTAACTTGAATTGATCAAAATCACTGTTAGTCTTTAAAGTGTGAAACATTATTTGGTCTCTATAAATGTGCGTTGAGACAGTAGAACCCATTATCCATTTTGATTTAACAACTTCCTTAGTAGTTTCCAAATAGACATCTTCATCGTCATGAATGTTTTAGGTTACATTAGCTTAGGAGTTGTCATTATCTCTCTTCATAATTCTCAACTTTTGAAAGTTCTTTCTCATTTCTTTACACATTGATTGCACATGACATTTCTTCCCACAATAATAACATTGCATGTTACTCAAATAATTTTATAGACATGATTGAAAATTTGATCTTCCTCTAAGCTCATCTTGTCTCCATGAATTACTTCTCCCTTGCTCAGAATGTTGAGCAGTTAATGCATGACCTTTAATATCAATATTCTCATTTTTCGTCATTCTTTTATTTTCTCTTAGAGTGAATGTTACATCATCTAGCTTCAATGATATTTTTCCTACAAGCAATGTCTGAACTAAGTATTTATAAAACTTTGGTAGTGAAGTCAACAACACCACTTGTTCTTCGTAAAAATAAATTTCATTTATATTTAACAATTGACATACTAGTTGGTTGAAATGATTAATGTGATAATGAAGATTTCCTCACATCTTTATTTTGAGTTAATATAACTCCATCTTCAAACATGGGCGATTGGTCAATGACTTAAACGCATAAATACTCTCCCACAAGGCTTTTGGTACTATCTTTTTTTAACACGTTGCACTTAATCTCGAGAGTAAGAGCTAACTGAATCATGTTCATGACCTTCTTTTGGATTTGACTTCATTCTCTTTCATTGATAGTATTTGATTTTTCATTTTCCAAAGTATGATCAAGACCTTACTACACTAAAATTTCTTGAATGGATAGCCTTATATTATTGCCATAATATAGTATATTCTCTTCTATTGAGATTTTTTTGTTTTCCAAATGAGAGGAATGAAATCATAATAAGGTATTATCATGGGATCTTGTGATCATCATTCTTACTACTTCTTGTCTGGTTTCTTTAATGATAAAAGGAAATTGTCTGGTTTCTTTAATAATGATAAGAGGGAAGTGGATGCTTTTGAAATAGTAAGGAGTTAGTAATTTTTGTTATTTGACAAGCTTACATCTTTACTCACTCATGCCCTTGTTTTTCTATTTTATGTCTCTTTACATCTATGAAGTTTGGTTTTAAAATGGTGGTATTGTATTGTATAACTTCTATAAACAATTTTTTATGATAAGAAACTTGGTAGAAATTAAGAGGAAGCAAGATCGGGATAGGATTTAAATTAAAATTGTTAAAATTGTTCTGAATACTTGTTGGCTTGCATCCGTGGAAAAAATAGAGAAAAAAATTATGAATAATGGAATTCTAGTTTATATCATTAAAATGAAAGTATTTTACATTGACCATAAATATTTTTATTGTAATATCTTATTCATAGTTGGATTTTCATCAATCCTCTCTTAAATCATGATGATTTGCCTTTAATTGTCACAGTTTAAGATTTTTATAGCTACATTTCATATAGTGTATTAAATTTAATATTCGAAACTTTTAAATCTAGAGAAAAATAGAGATTTTAATATTAACAACTAATAAATCACCATTTAATAAATCAAATTAATAGTACTTGAAAAAAATAAAAATAAAAAATACATTTAAAAATTATAATTATTAAAATAAAGCGTTAAACTATATCATTATTTTATTGTTTAACATTTTATATTACTACATGTACCTAAGAATTGTCAAGAGATTTGGAGATGTTCTTATAAGTCTAACCATGTGGTTGAAGATCCATTTAGGAAGACAATTCAAATTGTTGTATTTTATTTATTTTTTACCTTGTTGAACAAGTTTGTGCTATGTTATGTGTATTTACATTGAAAAATTCAATAATTCATTGGAGTTAACTTTAATAAAATTTTACTTTTATAAATTACTCCAATAATTCATTTATTTGTATCTACTTTTAATATTTAATAATGAAAAAAAAGCTTTTATAAATATTAAATATTTAATAGATAATTCAAAATTGATTAAATATCATTTTTTTTGAAAAATAATTTTTAGCGACCGACCATGTGACAAATGATTTGATGTCTAAGTAGGACTAGATTTGAAATTTTTAATTAGAAAAATGACATATACTTATCAACTGATTTCGTGACAGAAACTTCATTTACTATTTTCATCCCAACAGGTAAAACGACCGATTTGGCAGCGACAAACCTAATTTTGTTAGTGATCGACCTATTCATCAATTGTTAAACAACAAGATATCCCATTTCAATCCCTAAAACGGCTTAGTGATTAGGCTTTTCACAGTTAACTTGTTTGAGTCGCAATTTTGATTGCTACTTGGTTTAGCAACTAATTGCTCAATTTAGTGACCAAAAGTAGGTTCACTAAATGTCTTTTTTTAGTGAATTACCTTTCACGCACTACCTCTTGCCCCTTAGACTTTGAAGAAAAATACCTAAGTTTCACAATTTTGAAATCAAAATCATATTATGTTGATTTTAAAATAACTATTGTAAAAAACCTCTTTGACATAAGTTAAAATTAGAACCTATGCAAAAGGAAGTTTTACATCCATTATTTTAGAACAAATGTAAAATAGTTATTTCAAATTATAAAGATGTCACTACGTCATTTTCTACATGAATTGTATAATAGCTAATGTAAAAAATATATATGTTAAGCAAATCAAACAAAGATACATTTTTTGAGAGTTTAAAACCGCTAGAGTATGTGAAGCAAGTCAAACAAAGATCCATTTTTTGGGAGTTTAAAACCACTAAAAAATGTGAAGTAATGGCCTACATTTTCTAGTGTCAAAAATCAATAATTAGATAATATCCGCCACAAACCATTTTTTGCAAGTGTTAATATAACAGTTATTAATAATGCTAGAAATGTCATTTATGACAATTTTTAATCGTTAGAAATTGAAAATTAAACTAACCACCACAAATCATACATTTTTTGTATTGAAAGTGGATTGGGGTAAGAAATGGAAGAACAACCCCTAAGGATTAGTTACTTGAGGAAGAAAAGTTTTAGGAAAATATGGGCTTGTTTGATTCAACAATGACTTCATTTGTTCAATACACATCCTCATCATATTATATATGTTTCAAGCATAGTCATTATAGGAGTGAAAAAAAGGATGTAAGATAAGATATCTAGAGTAAATTTGAGCTTGCTAAAAGGCAACTATAAGAAAAAGGCTTTGGAAGAACATATATATACCACAACATAATGAGAAAATGTATTATGAACTACGATAACTCCATATGAGCCTAAACCAACCCTTACTCCATCATCAAGTACCACTTTAGAAGACCATGAGCACAATGTTAGTAGTGATAGTCAAGATGATTATATTGACGAGATAATGATGTCATCATTGTAGTGACAATAGTAATAAAAACGACAATAATAATAATAATAATTGTAAAATAAACAACAATAAAAATATATGATAGCAAAAATATGATAATGCAAGTAACACTAGTAATTAATGATGGTATTTACACTACTAACATCATAGTTATTATCATCATCATTGTTAATACTATTATTATTATTATAAATAACAATAATGATTAATGATAACGATAATAATAATTGTAAAAATAATTATAATAATGATCTTATGAGATATGTGTATATATAATTAAATTCATTAATATATAGTTGTTAATTCTCATTTAAAATTTCTGTGAGTGGTCATATCTTATAATTGCACATTTCCAACTTATTATATTGACAAGCATTATTTATATTCACGACGGGCCACTTGAGCAAATATTAATTTGCATCCATATAAATTCATCATCATACAAAAAAGATTGTACATGCATTACATTACCTAAAGCCCTAAACAAGCAATGAATTAATTTGCAAAACCCACATCATATCCCCACTGCACAATTAATAATGAATCCCTTTATTGAACACAACGAACCAAAACCTTATTTACGTGAACCTCTCCTTAGGTAACAACATTATTCAACGTATGAACCCACTCTCACAATTCACAAACCAACCCTTCACCATGCATTCACGAATTAAACGCCGTGCAATCTCTCCTAATCTCTCCCTCGCTCCCAGTCTTGACCCCAACCCTTCCAAGCTTCCTCATGGCTGCCACAAACGCTTCATTGAAGTCCGCAGCGTTGTTCGCGAACCGCACCACCGTAGACTGCGACGTAGAGTCCGTGAACAGCACCTGGTCCGAGGTGAGTAACCCTTTTCCGGATACCAAGTTCTGGTAATAGACGTTGTCGAAGGCCGCAGGGGATTGCGGGTCCAGGGCAACCGCTACGGGGGGGTCGGGATTTCTCGGGCACCCCGCCATCAAATCTTGCGCGTACGAGGTGTCCAGAGTGGGGTCCACTGGATTCGACGATGAGAACGAATATAAACGGCTCGCGAACTGGTCGCAGTGTGAGAACCCAACGGTGTGGGCTCCCGAGAGTGCTATCATGTCGGTTTGGGTTAGGCCGTGTTTGGAGAAGAGCGCGTTGAGTTGGTCTAAGTTGAAGTTCGCTTTTGGAAGGTTTCCTTCTACACGCGATGCTTTGGAAATAAGCCCGTCTCTGCGTCCAAGCTCTACTTTGAACGAAGGCCCTCCAAGCTGAGACAAATCAAATATGAATTATTGTTTGAGTTTAAATTTAATGTTTAATTTGTCCACATGCAAAAGGTAACAAAAAAAAAATTATACACACTATTGAACTGGTATTAATTAGTTTTAATTAGAATTTACTGAGAAGTTATAAGAATTATTATATTGTTATTCATGAATAATGATGGGTTTATATGTATATTAAATTAAAATTGTTGACTTTTTTTTAATAATTATTTCCAAAGATATATATGATTTTTTGTTTTTATATTTAACTTTTTAAAACCTTTCTTCTACTATTGGGCAAAATCTCTATCATTACGTAAGGATGAAATAAAATTTCATTTAATATATATGAGAGAAAATGATGATGAGAGAGTGTGAAAAGAGTTTGTACTTCTCAACAAAAATGAAAGCTATTATTCATTGCATTTGATGATGTATTGCTACAGCCTACAGAATTGGACAACGCGTGTAGACAATATCAACATAGTAAAATTCTTGTAATGAACACATGATTAAACGATGGTGTGCATGAACAAATCAAAATAAAGTCTTGAAATGATTGTTGATTATACTTTTGTTAAATTAATAAAATTGCTTACCAAGCCTATGACATCTCTGGTAGCGAGTGCTAAAATGTCTGCGCATGAAACCACGCCAGGGCATTGAGCTTCCACTGCTTGCTTTGCCTTGATAACAGTGTCAAACCCATCTCCTGGTAGCGAAAGATTTTCTGTGAAATCCTTCTCTGCGTCCCCATTTGGTGACGATATTATAACAGATGCATCACATCCCTACACCATCAAAATTAATTCTTCATTGGTAAAGCCAACCCAATTTTGGCATCAATATTTGGGTTAGATTCAAAATTTTACACTATATATCTAAAGTTTAATTTCAATTGCCCTGAATGAAATAGAATGGGATTTCTTGATCAATGCTTTTCTACCATGTTCCTGTGTTAAGTCAAGTCTAGTTGGTCAAAAGTTAACAACACAACAACTAATAGCTAGGATTGTATTTTATACCTCAAAGTCAATGACTTTTTAATAATCCATGTTTCAGCCAATCACAATATTACATATATTTATGGTTTTTAATTTATTTCAAAAATTTAATAACACTCTATTCCATGTCAAGTAAATACCAGTTAGAAACTAAGCTATTCAGGACAACCTAATAACGTGATCACTATAAACAAAAAAATAAATACAAAGTCACATATAGCATACCAAATATGCGATATTGCAGAATTTTCTACTGAATGACATAATCAGGCATTAACAAGGAAAAGGAAGAATAAGCCTCCACCAACCATAAAAGTCACGATCATATTTTGAAACTTCAACATCATACATGAAAATTAAGAGAGTAAAACCAACTAGAAGGAAACCATTATGTCCAGAAAATGCATGCTCATCAGAAGATCAAGGAAATGAACAAAGCATAACTTGACGGGGAAAACAGTCTATACATATGAATCAGTAGCGTAGTGATAATTCTATTTTCTTTATATCAAAACAAAACTTGACACTGAAAAACTATATTATATAACCAAAAAAAGGGTTAGAAACTATAGAGAAATATATGAATTGAGAGAAAGGCATGCACCTCAACGAAGCAATCATGGAAAAATAGACGCAGAGTTGCTTGTCCAGTTGTGATGGTTTGAGTAAACTTGTTGGTCACAGCTTGGGTCACGATGGATTCGACGTTTGGACAAGTTGAACTATAGAAATTCTCCACTAATTGGCCTTCTCCCTTAGGCATAAGCACCATCAACAAAGCCACTAACATTAACACTAACCTCATGATCTCCATTTGTTGGCTAGCTATGTAAACGTCTCTATGTACAACTCTATTATATATCATTCAGTTATGTTTATATATATATATCTCCCTTTCCGTGTGGTTGAGGATAGCCTAGTTGGATTTGTTAAAGGTCATAATAAAAAGAAAAAAGAATGAGACAAAGTTGATTACTCGGTAATTAACCCCAACCTTGTGCTATATAATATATATAGCTGGAATAAGCTGTCTTGGTCCAAGTAGTCATTTTAACTTGCCAAAGTGAAACCTTCCTCTTTTGAATTTTCCAGATTGGGTCTTAGTAAGTTCAAGTTGTTAAGGTGGGTGTTATTGGAATTAAAAAGATAATGCCTATTGTTTTATATTCAACTTTTTAATATTACTTAAAAAATTATGAAATTTGAAATTTTATAATAGTACATTAAATATTTATAGTGTTGTGAGTTGTGACACATATAAGTACATGAACAAAACGGTTCCCTCAAATTCATAAACTCTGTGTTATTATCATTTACATTACTCCCTTTATTGTTTTTAATTTTTTTTTCTGATATACACAAAATATTTTACATCACTTAGGAATTGAGATAAAAAATTATTTATAATTAAATATTTTTATTCTTTAATTCATTAATAATTGAACGAGTATCAAAGTAGATAATATTTCATATGTGATGATCTTATAATAATATCAGCAGACTTGAAGTTTAAAGATAATTAATACTAAAAGGAAGGCTCAAGCTGATTCTCCTTAGTCTCAATTAAAGGCTTGTTTGATATACTTAAAATGTTTTACATTTTTTTTAAGAATTAATTAAAGTTAATGGTTGTTTATAAATATATCTCTCCAATAATTTAACCTATCGAGACATTTTTCAAAGATAAAATTGTGATGATAAATGAAAGATAAAGTAAACAATATCTCAAATTACCTCAAATATAATATTCCTAACAAGTTTAGGATACTTGAAAACAGAATTTTGTATAGAACATTTTGTATTAACAACATTGTAGATGGTTTTGTAATTATTTTTTCTATACAAATGACTTTATAAAATTTACAAAATATTAAATATTTTTCAAAGCCAATTCTTCATATCTGATTACATCATATTTCGAAACGTTAAATATTTTTCAAACCCCATTCTTCATATCCAATTATGGTGGAATTTTATTACTAAAAAAGTATTATTTTATTGCAAATTTTTCTAAAAAACATATTTAGAGGAATTTTTTGTGGATTTTCTTGCAATAATAATTTCACAAAAAAAAATGTGAATTTATTTATGAAAAATAATTTTCAAAAATTTCTTATAAATTTTTTATGAAAACTAATCTACCACAAATTTTACTACTGTTTTAGTGACTATAGGAATTTTTTTTTTCTATGATAAAAATTTATAGAAAATGTTGTAAGAGTTTTCTTTTGTTTCTTGTAGATATTCTTAAATAAATAAATTTGAAAGTAATATTTATTAGTATTATAATGAATGTTAGGAAAATTTCGTAAGTAGCTTTTCTTGCCAATTTTAATTCACAGGAAACATGAAAAAAATTTGTTTAAATTTATAAGTTTAAAAATTAAAATATTTTAATTAATAAAAAATTATTTACTAAATTATTTATGAATATATCACTATAATTAATTTTAGTTTTAAATTTAATTAAATTAAATATATAAAATTTATAAATATGATAAGTTAGTAATAATGAATTTTAATTTAATGATAATTTATAAAATTTATAAATTAAAAGTATTTACTTAAAAAAAATATTATTTTCTAAATTATTTATAAATATTTCATTAAAATTAATTTTAATTTAAAATATTGGTAAATTAAAAATTAAATGATTAAAGGTATAAATTAATAATAATGAATTTTAATTAAATGATATTTTTCAAAATAAAATTATTTAATAAAAAACTAGTATATATTTTTTAGAATATTGAATGTTTTAAGAGTTAATATAATTTATAATAATATAATTTTGTAGTTCAATATAATAAATTGATTTTTTTTCTATGGACATGGTCTAATTAATATTTAAAGAAAATCTCAAGTCTCACGTCGATTATAAATAAGACAATTAAAAGGTATATAAATGGGATGAATTCTCACGTTACAAATTAATTTTATAGGATTGAGTTAAACTAATAACCGACATTCTAAGAGTTCAAAAGGTTATAAATCACATGTTGGAGGCATGAAAGTACGTACATTCTTGATATTTTTTATGAATTCGTTGTGAACATTTGAAAGACAAAGGTTGAAGAATTATTGATGGTGTGATTTGGCACTAATAATGGCAAAAAATTTTGTGAATTTGAAATTTGCAAGCAAAAATTTAGTAAGAAAATTTGCACAAAAATTACTTGTGAATTTTAAATTCACAAGAAAGTTACCTACAAATAATAAATTTGCAAGAAATTTTGTAAAAAAAATTCTTGTGAATTTAAAATTCATAAAGGTATTACTCAGAGATAAAATTTCATAGAAATCATGTTTTCTGTGAATTTTTATGCAAAATCTGTATGAAAAATCGTATGTAATAAGAGAAAATTTTAGTAATGTTTAGATAACTTAATGAGTATTCATAAGTAAAGTGAATTTCTTGTGAATTTAAAATTTGCAAGAAATTCAGCAAAATAAATTTCACAAAAATTACTTATGAATTTTAAATTTGCGAGAAAGTTACCTACAAATAACGAAATTACTGAAAATTTTGTAGAAAAATTTCTTCCAAATTTCAAAATTTGCAAAAAAATATATTATTCGCAAAAGTATTAACTAGAGATAAAGTTCTACAAAAAAAATTTATAAAAATCACATTTTCTACAATTTTTTATGCAAAAACTGCATGTAAAAGTTATAATAGGAAAATTTATAGTAGTATTTAGATAATTTAACGACTATTCATAAGTAAAGTGAATTATTTTTTCTACTCACTTATTAACAAAAATGAAAGCATGTATTGAATTATTACTATTAGAATTAGTTTAGTGAAAGGAACTTCAAATAATATAGACGAGATTTTAACTTTAAAATCTTGTTGTCTTCATTGTACATTAAAAAAATGAGAATACATGGAGACTTAAAATAAAATATACAAGATTTTACGATTGAATATTGTTGTCGTCATACATAAAATAAAATGAGAGCATATAGTAAAGGATTACATGTACTTGTTATTTAAATATGCACAAATGTTCTTAATTATATATAAAGTAAAGTTTTAAAAGTTGTTAATCTACAAACTAAAAAAACCCAAGTTGTTAATCCACAAACAAAAAATAACCAAATTTTGGAAGAGGCATAAGGAACTTTTTTTTTATTTTTTTAGTAAATGTCCCTTTTAATACTTCATTTCAATGCTTTTAAGTATAAATAAAAAAATAACAAAATTTGATTATTATCATTTTTTATCATTGTAAAAGTATGAACAGTATTTACCTTCGAAAGTAGTGATTAATCTTAATTAAGAAGCGTAAATAAAAAGGTAAATATTTTCTTCACAATATATTTTATTTCATATCTAAGACTAAAGTAACTTAATTAAAAAAATACAAGACGTTACCACTATTGTATACAAGTGTTGGCACAGTTATTACTTAAGTTAAGTTGTATATTTGGTCTCCTATAATATCAAATTGACAGTTTTGGTCTCCTAATTTTTAAATCCACAATTTTAATTCCTTGATTTTATAAAATTTATAATACTAGTCCTCTTATCGATTATTTATTTATTGATCGTTAAAATTATTACATTAGTCATAATTAAGATTAAATAGATGACATAATAATTAATATTTAATAATATTTAAACTATATTTCACTTTTACTTCTCATTTTAATCACATAAGATAAAATGAGAAGAAAATGAGATGAAAATAAGAACTAAAAGTGTAATTTAGCATAAATATAATTAAATATTATTTAGCTTGTTATTTATCTAAGGTTAAGTACGAACATTATAATTTAACTATTAATTAATGAACATGTAGTAAGATGATTAAAATTGCAGATTTTACAAAATTGAGAAATTAAAATTGGAAGACCACAATTAAGAATTTAATATTAGGACGTGTTTGATACATGACAAATTTTTTCATGTCTGGCAATCATGATTTTTAAGAATCATAAATTTTAGAAATCATGATTATTTATGATTCCTAAAAATCATGAAAGTCTATTTGGTTGGTCATAAATATTTTTGAAAATATTTTTAAATGTTATTTGAGAATCAAGAATTTTTATAATATTAAATAAATAAATAAATAAAGGTACATGACATTTTTACCGTATTAAATTTTTATTTTTACCTTAGAAAGTTAATTTTCACCTCTCCAATAAACATTATTTTGTGGAAAAATTGTACAAAAATCATTTTCAGATAGCAATATTTCTTAGTGAAAAACCCCTTTTGTACTAGTGAATATTATTTTTTAAATAAAAAATAAAACTCAAAAAACTAATATTTCCGATGTCAAATTTTTGAGAAAGTGAAAATTTATATACCAAACACATTTTTATAGAAAAATAAAAATACAATTTATCCTACTACTTATAAAACCATGCCATCATGTGATTTAAAATATATATACACATAACACTACATCATCATTAAGCATTTAAGATATGGTTGCTTAGCATATTGAGGCAGATCAATGGAAACTTGTCCTTGTCATAGAGCCCCATCAACCCAGTGAGATTTAGCCACATTGTGACTTTCCATAATATTATATAGTTTTAGACTTTTAGTATACAACCTCATCCACAAGCACATTAATCTTGCCTGCCCAATAAATCCAATACACTTTTTGTCGATTTATTTCGACATTTATGGTAGTATTTAGCAAAATTAGTGTATAAACTAGTGGAAAGTTTACAAGTTACATGCAAGTTAGAATCTTGAAATAATCATATAAGTTATTGAATTGAAAATCTTATAAATATAAAATAAATAAAAAAAATGTTTTTAATTATTTGATGCGAAAAGAAAATTTAAATTAATTATTAAGGATAAAAATGAAGAAAGAAAACTAATATCTAATATACTAACTTATTTTTATAAATTAATTAAAATAACTTATGAAAATAAATTATAAGTTACTTAAAATAAAATTT